GCTTAGCTTAGCTTAGCTTAGCTTAGCTTAGCTTAGCTTAGCTTAGCTTAGCTTAGCTTAGCTTAGCTTAGCTTAGCTTAGCTTAGCTTAGCTTAGCTTCGCTTAGCTTAGCTTAGTTTAGCTTAGCTTAGTTTAGTTTAGTGAGTTCAATACCAAAATACAAGAACAAATAGACAAACAACTAACTCCAAATAGGCAAATAAATTTGAAGTTTAGTTTTCGAAGTTTACAATTGGTAATGGAATCCTGATTTCTCTATCCCTTGCTTTCTCTAGCCTTGTGATACATGTAACTTGAACTCATTTCCCTTGGATTTGTTACACTATACAAATGTAGTTTTATCCCTGATATCTTGAAGCTACTGTAACCTAGGAATCTCCATAACTATGTACCTTTATAATCTTATCAAATTTACCAAGGTTACCCCTATTGCTATCAGTCAGCAAGTAGTTTCATTTGAAAAAGGATACACTTCTGAATATGGCTTCTTCGTTTAAATGTGCTGCTGACATTTTCCTTTAAATAAAGCAACCCAAAATATCTTCTTTAACATTCAAGGAGATCAAACTTCACACTCTTTACGAAATAGAAAACATGTATGTGTTTCTATCTAGTTATAGAAACATGAGTGAAAATTTGGGAGAACAAGAAATGCTGTGGGAACAAGAGCTGTTAGGCAAGTGTTTCCACAGCTTTTTCGAATTCTCCCAAACTTTCAGGAATACTTCTATTAAGCAATAAGATTATGAACTCAAGATTTCTATCCTGTGATAGTTGACTCAGGCTGCGCCCTTGTCAACTGTCATGCATGGAAATCGAGAGCAAATGTGTAATTGTTTTAGCATAAACCTACTAGTTGTTCAAAACTTAATCTCAATCCTCTTCACAGACAATTCAAAAACACCACTATCTATAACAGAATAGATAGTGAGTAGCGTAGCCAATCAGAGAATGGCATTCATGATAGAATGCTGGTAGATTTATGCTAAAACTCAATAGAAACAGAGAACTTGTTTTTAGAAAATATCGAGACAAAAAAAAGAAAAATAAGCTGTTCACTTTGTTCATCAAAATGTAAATTCTCTTTGCTCATGTCATCATTACACTGTACGTCAACAACTTGTACTTGTGCTCGTGTTCATGCACGATTTTAAACCAATCAGTGCACCTATTTTCTTTAGGATATTTTCTAAATGTGTATGCTTAAGGTCAACCTACAGTATAATCTATCTTCTTGTTGAATAAACCATTTACAAAGTGTTTTCATTGTATTTCCTACCTCTCTCACTTTAGTTACTTCTGGTGGCATAGGACCAAACATATGCCTCATGTCTGACCTGTTCAAAATGAACCAGAAGAATTGCTTATTGAACAAAATACGATGTAACATTTTCGTTATAGACTTTTAGTCAGATGGGTGTCCAGGCATCCTGTGGATGGCCACTTTTTAAAGAAAACTGTTTTATTTTCCATATATTGCATTATAAATTGTTCATTTGAGCAGGCCCCTTTTGGACGCCCACTTTTCAAATCCTGGCTAAAAGCCTGACCCAGAATATGCTTCTGGTGCAAATTTTTACCAGGTTGATTACATGAATTCAACCATGGAAAAGAGTCTCTTGGAAACTAAAGTTTGACAGCACTTGGGTGTCTGGAAAACCCAAACAGCGAATAGCGAATAGTCATGAATAGTGAACAGCAAACAGTCCTGAATAGTGCGAATAGTTTCGAATAGTGCGAATAGTGGCGAACAGTTGTGAAAAGTGGCAAATAGTGACGAATAGTCGTCAATAGTCACCGCTTTAGATCTAACATTCTGCGTCAATTAATTATCCAAAAAAGCAACAGAATTTCAGTGAATTTATTAACTTTTCTTCTCCAGACTCAGGCTAGGGCTGTCCATCTCCGACATTAAAAATTGGAGTACAAATAAAGCCTGTCTTTCAGTCAAAAAAGATCAGTCAAGTCCTCGCCCCGAAAGAGAAGAAGCCGCCGATTGTCAACAATCAGTGCGTGGTCTACAAATTTCAATGTGATCTGTGCGACACAGATTATGTCGGGTACACAACCCAACACTTGCACCAACACATTGGCCAGCATAAACATTCTGCAATTGGAAGACATTTGGGAGACCATGGCCTATCGAAGTCTGATTTGAAGGAGAAACAATTCTCAATTTTGAGGAAATGTAGAACGACGTTTGACTGCTTAATATTCGAGATGTTGTTTATTAAGGAGCTAAAACCTGGGATAAATACCCAGAAGGACTCTGTTCTTGCTAAATTGTTTACTTGACACTGCGTGCAAATATTTCTCGCATTTAATAGTGTTTTATTTAAGTCTCTAAGGATTTGTTTTGTACATTTATATTCCAATAACATTTTCTTATTCATTTTGACTTGAAAATGATGTTGAGTAAACGTCGAAACGTCATCGCTTTTTAGAGTTTTTTACAGTTTTTAGAGTTTTAAACCGTGATGGTTTTAACTTTTGTCTTGTCACAATGTTTTATAGTTAAATTATTGACAAAGCTTATTCCTTTACGAAACACCTTTTGTCCTGATAAGCGTTTGTGCTTTTTAGCGGGAAAATCCCATTTCATGTTGCTGCAAGGTTGACTGCGAGATACTGGGTACCCTATTTGCTATGATTTGCCACTATTTGCCACTATCATCTGGGCCACTATTCGAGACTGTTACCCACTATTCGCACTATTCGAGACTATTTGCACCATTTGCACTGTTCGCTATTTGCTATTCGGGACTATTTGCTGTTCGCTTTTCGTGACTATTCGCTATTCGGGTTTCCCAGACACCCGACAGCACTCATCATTCGGGTGACTGACTCTCAAAATGCACTCAGCTGGCAAAATTTTCACTCACCCAGAAGGATGCCTCCCCTCCCATGTCCCCCCCCCCCCCCCACCCACCCTCCGCCCCCCAAAAAAAGAAATCTCCACAATGATTCACAAACCGTACTTTGTTTAGGTATCTCATAATCACGGATGCCAGCTTGTCATTTCGTGTTGAGCTTTCTTGTTCTGGTCCAATTACCAGATGCCTCCTTAGGATTACAGACTAATTTAACAGTTTCATCCTTGTTTTTATCATCAACTTTTGACACTCCTTGGAAATCTTTCCACATTTTGGTAGATCTAACTGAAAAACAGCTACAATGTAAACGAACAGCTGGCATTCATGAATTTGGATACATGTATATCCCTAAAATCAAGACATTAGAGCAAACAACATGTCACTTATTCAGTTAATATTAAATTTACAAAGGAGTATTATCAGTAATTAAGCTTATTAAATAATTTCATGCTTGCCAAACAGATGAGTAATCTAGGATTTATACTCACCTGATGCTTCTCACACTCACATGGGCAAGTGGGTGGCTGCTAATTTCTAACACGGGACTATACCCCTGGGACAGGGGAACTCCCACATAAAAAGGACGAGGGTGCTCATTGTACCTTTTAGGAGTTAAAGAAAGCAATTTTTGCACCTCTTAGGGTGTTCAGCCTCAAAAGGTCCACAGCGGAAGTTTTTGCAGTACCTTTTAGGGCCAATGGAGCCAAAACAAAAGTATGACAGGATATATCTAACAATCAACTTTACAAATAGAAGGTACTCAAAGCAATCATCCTAATCACTATTAAAAATTATGAAAGTGCCAGTTAATGTGTTATGTGGTACATCTTAGGAATGAAAAAAAGCCCAGGTCACATCCACAAAATAGGATCTTGGTTCCTCTTTGGGTTCTTCTCCAAATTTCCAACAAGCACCCCCACCACTTTTATACAGGAGTTCTCCCCCCTCCTTGGGGACTATACACTAAATGGTTTTATTAGTGTGTAGTTTCATACCAAACCATATTACATAATACAGTGAAACCTCTATTAAGCAGACCCCCAATTAAGCGGACACCCTCTAGTAAGTGGACACTTAGCCTGGTCCCAAAATTAACGTGTTATATTTCGCTTTATAACAAGCCCCTATTCAGCAGACACCTCTATTAAGCAGACACAGACACTAAAATAAATTGTATTTGGCTAATTTCTATTGTTAAAAACCTCTATTAAGCGGACACCAGACTGAATTGACAAATTGTGGCATTGGATTACGTCCTTGAAATAGTCGATTAAATGTACCCTTATTATCGTTGCTATACGGAAAGGGCATTATTACAAACAAGTTAAAGTTGGTAATGAAAACTGATGAACTTGAACTCTGGATAGCTTCGTTACAACCTAGAACTTTATTACAGTACAGAGGAACCATTGAATGTTAATATTGTTAACAAACATTGCACAGTTGTTATAAACATTTATTAAGTGGACACCCTCTATTAAGAGGACACTTAGGAAGGTCCCAAGGGTGTCCGCTTAATAGAGGTTTCACTGTTGATAAATGTGAAGACAAATGTATGGTCATATCCTTTAAGAGGCTCTGCATTATGCTTGTCATATAAGTGATATTGACACATCACGAGTCAATATTTACATCAAAATTACAATATGCATAATTATCCAAATTGCAATACATGTATATCTATGCAAATTGCAATTTATATGCCCAAAATTTCAAAATAAATATACTCAAGTGCTCCATCCAGTATTTGTTTTATATGTATTGTCACGCAGTTCTTCATACATTGTGTAGTTCCAAACAGTTTCATATTTATATTACATGTGGTTTTTCGATATATACATGAATTTATACATACAGATGTATGTACATATATTTTTGCAGTAAGAACCATATGTAAGCTTTTATGAGTTGATCCACATCCTGCATCTTGTTGTTTGTAGCAAGGCTACAAACAACATGGCAACCCAGTGGCTTTGGTGAGAGTCATACTCAGAACATACAAGGACCAAGAAGTCACTTGAGCACTAACCAAGTGAACTGTGTAGAATTCTGCTGTTGCAGTTTGATAAAAATGAGCAATCTTTAATGTTACATGTGTTGTCAGTTAGAATCAAGACCTGATCAAATAACTTTTGTTCAAGACTTTATCAACACAAAATAATCATATTTGTTTGTTTACAATGTTTTTTTCAACAAAACTGATGAAGTCTGTTAGTGTTTGTAGATAACTCACACTTGTGTTTTGGATATAGGCTGAAGTAATGAGTCAACAAATGAAGGTATTCTACTACAGAAGGTTTGCAAATTTTGGTAAGTGTATACATGTACAATCAGGTATTCAATAAGTAGTGGGATTGGTGTTTGAGAGAGCTATTTTCTAGTGTTGTTGTCTATATGTAGTTGCCACATGGTGTAGGTCTGAGATCAAGTGTGACACAGTTTGGTTTGTGCTTCCATGCCCATGGGTTTATCAAGAACCTTGTAATTTTTAAGCCATTAGTTTGAATTTATCCCTCTTGTATTTTATTTGCTTATGTTCACTCATGTAAATGTTTACTAATCTGTTTCTGGGAAAAGTAGCCTCCTCAGTTGGAAGACAAAGATCATGATCTTCAAGACCAATATTGCTGCTAATCTACCCTATGGTTGCAAGACATGGGGAATGACCAAAGAAAACAAATCCAACCTAGATGTTTTCCAGCACAAATGCTTGAGGAAAATCCTGAAAGTTTAGGAGTTAGGAAGGTCAGTAATGAAGAAATTGGAGAAAGACCAGGCACAAGAACAATCAGTGAACAATTAAGAGCTAGGAGGTGGAAATGCCTGGACCATGTTCTGAGAATGTCTTCAGAACAAAATCCCATGATAGCACTAACATGGGCACCTGAATTAAGGCAACCACAGAAGAGGACAGCCAAGAGAGATGTGGCAAGAATGATCAAAAGGAGGGAAGCAGAGGTGGCAGCAAAAGACCAAATTCCTTGGAGGAGATGGATTGGTGGTCCCATTCTCCATGAGGAGAGAAGAGAAAGATGATGAATCTGTTTCTGGCTTAAGCTCTAGCTAGCATTACAGGCCTTGGACAGTTAGAACTTTGCATGTAACAGTGGTGGTTAAGTCTCCAAAGCAACTTCCCCAAGCTTCGTTTTTATATACAAGTTATATGTTTACTTTTTCATGCAAGTGTATAACTGTGATGATCAATCATGTCTTTATTACTTTGTCAATTTTCTGCTTTGCGACCTGACTATACATGTAATCTTGTCCAATCCAGCACTGCTGAGAAGATAAGCGAAGCTTCATTAGTGGGTATTCAGTATGTCTTTGGCATGTTTCTGGCTTTGGGTTCCAGCTGTGTGACTGCCACTATAGCTTGTGGCCATCCAAGGTTTCAGCTTGTGGCACCTTGCCTCTAGCTGTTATCTGACTCTCATGCCACTCTCCCCAGGGGGGGGGGACCCCATATAAAAATGACGGGGTGCTTACTGTACCTTTTAGGGGTTAAAAATGCAGTTTTAGTATCTCTCAGGGTGTTTAGCTTCAAAAGGTCTATAGCAGGAGCTTTTGCAGTACCTTATAGGGTATTGAGCCAAAACAATATGACACAAGATAATGTATTATGTAAGAATTGGTAACTCTTAGGGGAGAAAAATTTCAAACCACGCCCACAAAACAGGATCTTGGTACCTCTTAGGGGTTATTTTCAAAATTTCCAATGAGCACTCCTGTCTTTTTTATATGGGAGTCTCCCCCTCCAGGCTTACACCAACCGCTGAGCAGTGTCCTCCCTACATGTATTTACGCCAAGTTTGTCTGGTGTTCTTTACTAATTTTATTCCTTCTTAAGGTCAGCACTAAATTTGTTAGACAGAACTGGGACATTATAATCTGTTTGACAGCAATTTTTAAATCTGGCTGGTTGTCAAATCTTTTTTGAAGAAGAATCTGACATCAAAATCCTTTTTCTCTAAACACTCTAATATTTGAGTACCAGTTACAATGTATCCATTCTTCTAGCACAGTCAACAGTGCAGAGACATGTAAGGAGAAGTATCTTGCCTGTCAATCTCTGTCTCAATCTCTTGGGGAGTTATTTTGCCTGTCAATCTCAATGTATGAAGGTTTTGAGCATCAAGTGCTCCTCAAAGATTCCCTACTGTATCTACTAAATATCTCCAAATCTCGAACAAAAGTTACGCAATCAAGCCTTGATTCCTACACTATAGCTAACAACCACCATAATTTTCATTCATATTAGCCAAATCTGCAACACCAAAATTCTCCACTGTCCGTGCACTTGGTTGTTGGCAAGAGATTTCTTGTTCCTCCTTTGACTCTCACCAGAGAATCAGAAAAGAAATCACTGAGTTGCTATGTTGTTTGTAGCCTAGCTGTCTTGGGATGTAGGTCAACTCATGGGTGCTTACACAGAGTACTTGCTACAAAATAATATATACCTGTATGTATTGGAAGAAACTGCATGCAAAAAAAAAGACATCAAACTGTATGTAAAATATAAGTACTACTTTGTTTTCCAACATTTGATCCTACATTTTGCAAGCATACTACATCAAACTTGCTCTGTATTGCTGCTTAGATTTCCGGTAAAATTAGCTGTGCTACTCAGTACTCACCTTTGTCCCTGGCCTCGAACGTCCCTTTGGCTATCAACAGCCTTGTTCATTGCCTCTGGATCAAAACTGTGTCCCTGCTGAGAGTACTATTTAAATGATATACTAAGTTAAAGGAGAGCCTAGTTACAAAGTCTATATACATAAAAAGTATCTGCAAGTATAGTTAATACTAAATATTTCATACAACGAACAAGCAAACCGTGAGATGCAGAACAAACGGGTAATCTGATAGAGTTTTAAAAGATTGCTTGTCAAGTTGGTTCAGAAATTAATTAAAATTAAATGCAAGCTTACCTTGCATCTGCTAGCATGCAAAATTACAAGAGCTTTAATAGGAAAAACTGTAGCGGAGTTTGCGTACTTGTCTCCTTTCACTTAGCCGCATTAAAAATTCTTCATTTTGTTACCGGGGGTTTTTATATGTACGCTAATGACCCGGGAAAGTGCCAAGTGTGCGAATCACACGTGCAAACAAACACGAATTCCTTCAAGCAACACTGTACCTGCCAAACATAGTTGATTGTTGACTCGCCAGCGTAAAATTCTGAACTTTGACGGTGCGATGTAGATAATGGTTGATCTCCTCTTGGGTCCATTTCGTTCCCTGTTTAGTGATTATTGAAGTACCTTGCCTTCAAATTGTTGCCGCCATTTTGATGAAATCCTTTTAGAACGAGAGAATCTGGAGCGACTGGTGTCCAGTATTCTTACGGAGAGACGCCTGGCGATTTTTCGAGTCCACGCTGAATCGTGTGAATCATGACTGGAGTAAGAAGGAAGAAAACTCAGAGGAAAAAGCGTGTAAATACAACAAAACCCGGACTTAAAAGGAAGAAAAGAGAGAAGAAGGTGAAAGTGTTAAAGTGAGTCCCTTTCTCTCTCACTTTGATTTATGATTCAAAGAACTCTTCGGACCAATCACTCACGAAGTTTCTTGATGTAACTAGCTTGGTTTACGGTCACTTCGTTCCAACCACTTCGTTCCATCAAAGAGTCACTTCGTTCCACCAAATAGTCACTTCGTTCCAAAGAATAGCCACTTGGTTCCAAAGGTAAACTAAGCTATAAAACTTTTATTCTCAATAGATTTTTCCGAAAATTCCAAGTTAACGAATGCTTGGTCTGTTTTGAATCTAATCGTTTGCGAACGAGTTGCTCCGCCAGTCTCCCAATCGCTCTTTGCGCTAAGAAAAAAAAATAGGAAAACACTTTCATTGGGATATTTCTTCTAGTTTTCTTTTGTAAGTAAACTAGAAGTTTGTATCGAATTGATTTTAGATGTGTATCGAATCGACTTTACGTGCGTATCGAAGCGACTTCGATCTATAACGAAACGACTTGTATCGAAACGACTTTGTATCGAAACGACCAGATTCCGGACAGTTCAAGGACATTCTATCCGCTTAAGGTGTTTAGTGGCTTTGTAAGATTAGAAGTTTACTTGCTTAGTTTCCCCTTGGAACGAAGTGACTCTTTGATGGAACGAAGTGACCAACGAATGGAACGAAGTGACCGGATACCACTAGCTTACTGTATCACAAACCCTTTCACTCCTACCTGAGAGTTAATTCTCCTAACTTATCGGCTGCTCCTTAGGCTTTCATCTTATAACAATACCATATTCCCTAGGTGATAATTTCCCACTCATTACCTGCTGCCTGCTTGATGGTGTATTAAAAATATGTAAGGAAAATTTTCATACCAATCTTCCCCAGGACTCAAACTGACATGCTAACATTTAAGAAATTTTAGAAGTCACTCGGTTTTTAAACTGAGTTTAAGATCAACTGCTGATATTTTCCCATGTCTTTAAGAAGTTAATTTTATCCTCTGTGCAGTGGTAATGTACTTTGACCCAGACAACTACCTTTGTAGCTTTGTTACAGTTGGTCGTTTTTCCAAATTATCTTAGTGCATGCATGTATTATTTCAAGGAATTTAATAGTAGCACAAGTCAAGTTTGAGCACGAGTCAAGTTTGAGCCAATATTTTTTTTTTATTTCACTTTTCCCTTTTTATGATATCGTTTGGCCAAACCATTGTTGTTGTGAAAAGTAATGTCAGTTAGGTCATACATATGCATGAAACAGTTTTCCACTTCAGATGTAATCACAAGGCTAAGATATTGTTTTGCATGTTTTTCAAGCACTATAAGCTTTAAACTATTGGTACTACATGCTGAGCCTCACTATCCAGAATTTTTGAGAGAAGTGCTTTCTATAAAGCCTGAATACAAGGGAAAGATACAATGGATGTGATCAATCTGGTGAAACAAATAAGTGTTTTAATACAGAAATACCATGTCCTCCACCAGTATGATTGCACAGAAATTGGGTTGGAATATATTTTTTCCTTTGTGGATTCCCTCTAGATGCCACAAAATGGTGTGTGAGTGTTACAAAGTGCTAATTCCATTCTCTATATCAATTTTCTGAGCAGTGTTTCGTTGAAATAGAACCTCAGCCTCAGTTGTGTGTAATTAATAGAGGTCAGAATCTCTTAGGAAAATTAATGGATGCTGAGTTATGTTTGCTTCTTTGAAAATTAGCTGCAAATCAAAGCAGGAATTAATTCTCACTACTTACAGTCAAGAAAAAGACCTTGTGCTGTCATATACCTCTGGGACACCATTTTTACACAGTTATTAAAACCAGAAGATGAACTTGACTCGGGTTTGAACTTGACTTGTGCTACGATCCGACTCTACTTCAAGCAGCCTTTGCTTTTGTGTAGACTTCCTCGTCACACGAATTGCTTGAATGATCAGATGTAGTATGGAAATATTATTGTGATTGCATGACAAGACCAGTAAATGTACTAATGCTTAAGTTACATTGTCATGTGAAACTTAATTCAGCCATTAACCATTTAAAATTCATTTTTAAGAATAAGCCACATTTTGGTGTAAGGTACATGCAATTGAAACATTCTTTCTTTATTATTACACCTAAGTCAAACATTGCGTCAGAATTGGGACCAAAAGAAAACACTGAAACAGAATCTTCAGAATCTTGGTTTGGCTTTTGATGCTAATGCTGCAGTTCCCATTCCTAAAAGAAAAGTCAAGGTCAGTAGTTTACTACACAAGCATTGAATGTATTTCTCTTTATTACATTTTAAAAAAGAAAAAATAATGGCCGCTGCTTATTTACAAGGCTTTTGAAAATAAATAGGAATTGTGTTTCCCTTTGAAATGTCCTCTTGTTCTAGAGATATTTAGGTTTTTGTATTATATTCAAATGAGGAAAGTGATAACGTCATAAGTCATTCCAAATACAAAACACCAAGTCAGCAATATGTCTAGAGATATTATAGCACTGTTCTTTAAACTTGGCGCCAGAAATGTACATCATGCCATGACAACAGTTTTGCCACTGGTTCTGTTTTAATTAAGACTGAAATTCCCGGTTTTTGTCTTAACTAAGGATCATCCACTCCAAACAATCTAATAAAGAAAGTCTGGACAATGTGGGCACCCTGTGAATTCTGAGTAGGACCCTCTGTCTTAAGGGTTGCAAATGGGGATATTTGGCTTTTGACAAAGTGGCTGGAGCCAAGAGTGTGGCCATGGCAAGGGCACAATGAGTGTCATTCTGTTTCTTTTGTGATGTACATTTCTGTACTATTTACATGTATTTTGCTGGGCATTGAGGGACAACAGTGCTCTATAATGGTTCTCAGTAGAATGTGACAACAGGCAGATTTTTACCAGCAGTGGAGTGGCAGCTCACTGTCAGTGGTGACTTTACAGTTTTTGTAGTCAGTTGTTATGTAATGTCACTTATTATCACTTGTGAATGATAAAAGACATACTGAGAACTCTGCTCAGCAGTGTTTCAAATGAGCCTCTGACAGAATTACCATGTTACACGTTACCAAACTGCTTCCTAGGGAATTGTTATCAGAAGAGCTTTGATTTGTGAAATATCTTGTAACTTAAATCATTGTCAAAGGAGGCTCTTTTTCTAGTAACATTTGTCACTTGTAAACGTGTTCAGGGTCATAACACTGAGGAAGTTGAAGAAATGGAAGTAGATAGAGAACCAACAGCAGTGGTTAAAGGTGAGATAATGCTCCAACATTTATGCATGGCCTTGAATTTAAAGTCTCAGAGAATGGAAAAAATGTGAATTTTATGAAAAATATGTACTGCAATCAATTAATTAAGGAGCCACCTTCTTCCAGAAGAAAATGAAAGGCCTAGTGTAGAGAAAATGAATAATGTAATTCAGCAAAATAATGTAAATTGAGGTTGTGTTAAGGACCAAACCCTGATTGTTGAATTGAAAGGGATTTTAAGTGTTATTTTGTTATTTTGGTAAAAGAACACTCAAGAAAAGGAACTTGGCCTGTGCACTGTTTTAAAGTACATGTATAGAAGATATGATTTTCTCAGTTGAACTCCAAAGAACTTCAAGTTCTCCCAACAGGAGTGGAACCTGTCATCTTCTACTTTCCAATCAGACCTTTAAAAGTGAGGCACCTTGGTTATATACAAACAGTGTATACATGTCTATGGAGCCAAAGTATTCAAATAAATGTGACAAATTTGCCACATACCTCGTGGATAAGTTTTTAATACAGAATGTGAGATCAAGGATAAGGAAAGAAAGGGTAGTAAATATTAAGCTCTGAAGAAAAACAGTGCAGCAGGGGTATTTATAATAATAATAATAATAATAATAATAATAATAATAATAATAATAATGGCATTTCGGGCAGTATATCCACAGGGTGGCTCTTCGCTTGCCCGATGCTAACTAAATTTACAATTGTAAAAAGGTTAAAAGATATCTAAAAATTTATATCTATATGTAAACGAGATAAAATTTTGTTTTAAGATATGCTAAAATAAATAAATGAATAAATAAATAATTAAAATTATGCCAGATGTTCTAAAGCTCTCTTAAAAATAATGTTTTTGGTGTCTTTACAAAATTTAATATAGTCTTGGCAGCACCTCACGTTGCTGGGCAACGTGTTAAATAAACTTGCAGTCTGGTCCTGTAGAGTATTATTAATTAAAGATCTCTCTAACTGAATGCCGAATGCACTCCTTGCTTGAGATTAGTTTCGCTCTTGTCAGGTGTTCTGCATTTGCTGTTCAGCATTCTGACTGAAAATACCCCTGTTAAGACAAAACAATGGGAAAGATGTTCCTCACTCCACATAAGCTACACAGAAAGATAATTTTGTCTTGATTCTACCAGAGAAAGTAAGCTTACAGCTATGGACCTTCTGCCCTCAAGTTTGTATGGTCCTCTGGGCCATAGCCCATGTAACAATTTGTTCAGATATGACAAACCTCCCATACACCCCAAGGATTGATGTCAAATGCTTTATTGTCCATGTCTAGAGTTCGAAAAAATGGCAGCAAATGAGCTGAAAGGTGAGAGGCACATTTCTCCAGGTGAAGCACAGTTTTTATGGCAACTTATTCAGGATCACGGAAATAATTATAAAGTGAGTACACCTTCCATCTGCCAATTAATTTAATTAATCAGTTTCATGTAATAAGAGTTCCCTTTCACAATCTTGTAACTTAAACAATCTGTAACCCTAAAGACAAACTCAAAACCAGAAAAGAAGAAAAACCTTGTGACAGGACAAGAACTTCAGCAAATTCAACTCAACTTATGGGTCTTCACTGGAATGGAGTCTGGGCCACTACATTAAGTAGGTGGCCAGGGCTTACCCAGCCATACCATGCCTGTTCTACCCTTATCCCAGCGGATTGCTTTTTTTTTTTTTCGCTTGTGCAGTGAGATGTTTCTGGTCACCCAAAGGTGAACATCACTACTTGTGAGGCCACAGGTCATGATGAAGACTTGAGTGAATCAGAGTCTGTGTATGAAAAGCCTCAGTACCCTGGGTATGCCTGTTTCCCTTTGCATTATAGACTAAAAAACTGTGCCAAAAAGATTTCAGTAAATTTCAACTTTCTTTTGCCCAGGGTATGGCCAGGGACAAGAGAAATTGTTATCAACATACACCCAACCAACTGAGAAGGAAATGTGAGGCATTTTTAAGATCAACCCAAGACTTCAGTGGATATCTGGAAACTGTTGGTTAAGAACAATGTGGTTGAAAGTCAAAAATGCTCAACGCAAGTGACATGCTGACAAATGGCCTGGAGGCCTGCAATATTATTGCTGTTTGTAAAATTATTTTTCTTCTTTTTTTTTTTCTTTTCTTTTTTTACCTAAAGCGAATAAAGTTCTTCAAGTGCAGAAGAGGAGAAAATGAATGGTGACAAAAATTGGTTTGTAAGTTGTTTAACCCCCAAATCGATTAGCCCCTAGCCGTTTAGCCC